AGTGATGCCCCCTACAGTTGTGCCTACTTGATACTAGAGTTATACCTTTTTTGAGTGATGCCCCGTAGATATCAGGGTGATGCGTATTTGACATCAGAGGGATACCCTTTTTGAGCAAAACCCCTAAATATCAAAGTGAAGCCCTTATATGCTAAAGTACTGTCCCCTATAAATCAGAGTGATGCCCTTAAATACCGAAATGATGCTCCTTAGAGTGATGCTCCTATACATCAGAGTGACTCCCTTAGATATCAGAGTGATGCCCCGTATACATCAGAGTGATGCCTTCGTACATTCGAGTGATGCCCCATGTACATCAGTTATACTCCCTAAATACTAGTGTGATGCTTGTAAATACCAGAGTGATGCCCATATACATCATAGTAATGCCCCCTAAATATCAGGATGATGCCTGATTTACATCAGAGTGATACCATTACTTAGCGAGTGTTATGTCCCCTAAATAGCAGAGTTATGCCCTTTCATGCTAGAGTGACATTCACTCTATACATCAGAGCTGCCCTAAAATATCAGAATGATGCCCTCTAAATATCAAGTTGATACATCTTATGTGCCAGAGTGATGTCGATGTATCACAGTGATACAATTTTTAAGCAAGAGTGATGTGCCCTAAATATCAAAGTGATGCCCTTATATGCCAGAGTAATGCTCTTTGTAGTAAGAGTGATACCTCGCTAGAATACTGTCCCCTATACATTGGTGATGCCCCTAAATACTGAAGTGATGCCCATATACATATGATTCCCCCTAAATGCTAGAGTGATGCACCCTTAATATCAGAGTGATGCCCAAATACATCACAGAGTAATGCCCCTAAATATCACAGTGAGAGCAAGACTGAGGCCCCTTATACCCTTGAGTGATGCTCCCTAAATGCTAGAGTGATGTCCCCAATACATCACATTGGTGCTCTGAAAATGCCAAAATTAAAATTTTTGACGTTCAATCAAATCAAATATATATTTATGAAAATTTCTAGAAATATACGGCCTCTGTTATTTTAAGGAACTTATGTCATTGGCAAATGTTGTTCAAGTCTTATGTCACTGACAA